AGACAGAGTCTCACATTCTTGCCTGGCATGCTCTCAGCTCACTGCATCCTCTGCCTCCTGAGTTCACACGATTCTCCTGCCTCAGCCTCCCAAGTAGCTGGGATTACATGTGCACACCATTACGCCCGGCTAATTTTTTCTATTTTTAGTAGAGATGGGGTTTCACTATGTTGGCCAGACTGGTCTGGAACTCGACTGCATGATCTGCCTGCCTTGGCCTCCCAAAGTGCTAGGATTACAGGTGTGAGCCACTGCGCCTGGCCAATTTTTTTATTTTTTAGTAGAGATGAGATTTCACCATGTTGGCCAGAATGGTCCCAATCTCTTGACACTGTGATCTGCCTGCCCAGGACTCTCAAAGTGCTGGGATTATAGGCGTGAGCCACTGCGCCCAGCCACATCTGGCTAATTTTTTTTAAACTTTTTAAAAAAAATTAGCTGGGCATGGTGGTGCGTGCCTGTAGTCCCAGCTACTCGGGAGGCTGAGGTAAGAGAATTGCTTGAACCCGGGAGGCAGAGGTTGCAGTGAACCAAGATCATGCCACTGCAGTCCAGCCTGGCGCCTGGCGATGGAGCGAGACTCTGTCTCAAAAGAAATAAATAAATAACAATTTTTTTAAAAACCTTTTTTAAATTTTTGTAGAGATGCAGTTCTCACTATGTTGCCCAGGCTGAGCTCAAACTCCTGGGCTCAAGCAATCCTCCTGCCTCCTCGGCCTCCCAAAGTGCTGGAATTGCAGGCATAAGCTCCTCATAAATGTCTAGACTGAAAATGAGGTGGTGGATTTTGAAGCCTGGGGCTCCATGAAGTGAGATGCCTGGGTTTTCTCAAGAATTTCAGTGACCTCACAGTCTTGAGAATCCTTAAGTTACTCTGCTATCTCCACAGTCCCCACTCATGGCAGTTTCGGAATAAACACCTGTGGACTCATCGTCCCACCACCTGAAACAACTTCTCCCATCAATCACAGCAGCCAGGCCCCTATCTGGGAGCAGATTCAGTGAATTCCTTGGTGTGAGTGCTCCTCAATCTCCTTACCTGCACTAGGGAAATCTCCCGAGGGGCCCATGCCGTGGATGGATATGTTTTTATGTCCGAGGACCCAATGTCCACCATCCTTGGAAGTCTGGACCCAGTCACAGAAGGGATGGGCGCTATCTTCAAAGTCACACTGAGGAAAGCCCTCTGGGGAATCAAAATAGGAGATTTGAGCAAGCTGAGTGACACTCTCCAGCCCTCCCCCAACCCACCCCAGATTCTGAGAGATCCGGGCCTCTCAGGGCCCACTCTTACCCCCGCAAGGAGCGATGCTGACTGCATCAACTGCCACAGCTGGCTCGGGGATCTTTCCAAAAACGCCCACCACGATGAACTGGAGAGAAACGGAGAGTGGGCCAGGAGTGAACATACACCGCACACCCCCAAGCCCCTGATGTGACTCGACTCCATTTCAGGTCCCAGAACCCCTACTCCCTGTGCCCAGACCCTCAATTCCTTTCTTTCTTTTTTCTTTTTTTCTTTTTTTTTCTTTTTTTTTTTTTTGAGACGGAGTTTCGCTCTTGTTACCCAGTCTGGAGTGCAATGGCGCGATCTCGGCTCACCGCAACCTCCGCCTCCTGGATTCAGGCAATTCTCCTGCCTCAGCCTCCTGAGTAGCTGGGACTACAGACACGCGCCACCATGCCCAGCTGATTTTTTGTATTTTTAGTAGAGACGGGGTTTCACCATGTTGACCAGGATGGTCTCGATCTCTTGACCTCGTGATCCACCCGCCTCGGCCTCCCAAAGTGCTGGGATTACAGGCTTGAGCCACTGCGCCCGGCCTTTCTTTCTTTTTTCGAGACAGGGTCTTGCTCTGTTGCCCAGGCTGGAGTGCAGTGGTACGATCATAGCTCACTGCACCCTTGACCTTCAGGTCTCAAGTGATCCTCCCACCTCGGCCTCCTGAGTAGCTGGGACTACAGGTGCACATCATTATGCCTACCCAATTTTCATTTTTTTTTTTTTTTTTAGAGATGGGGTCTTGCTATGTTGCCCAGGCTGATCTTGAACTCCTGCCCTGAAGCAATCCTCCCTCCTCAGCCTCCGAAAGTATTGGGAGTACAGGCATGAGCCACAGCGCTGGACCCTTCAATTTATTTCAACTGTGGGGTGCCTACCATGTGCAAGGACCCGACCCCTTGCTTCTCCACACCTGTATCCGTCCCACAGTTGTGTAATTGACAGAAACAGCTTGCCAGTTGGGTCCAGGATGTCCTGAGAAGAGAGTGTGTTTCCGTATGCTCCCTAAAGGGAAGGAATTGGAGAGAAGTGAGCTTAACAGGACAGGGAAATGACTTTGAACTATACCCGGGAGGATGAGGATGAGAAGGCATAGTTGGGGAATATTAAAACCAAATGAAAGCACAACCTTCCTTTTTATTTTATTTATTTATTTTTTTTCAGATGGAGTCTTGCTTTGTTGCCCAGGCTGAAGTGCAGTGGTGCAATCTCGGCTCACTGCAACTTCCATCTCCCAGGTTCAAGTGATTCTCCTGCCTCAGCCTCCTGAGTAGTTGAGATTACAGGCATGTGCCACCATGCCTGGCCAATTTTTGTATTTTTAGCAGAGACAGGGTTTTGCCATGTTGGCCAGGCTGGTCTCGAACTCCTGACCTCAGGTGATCTACCCGCCTCGACTTCCTAAAGTGCTGGGATTACAGGCGTGAGCCACCGTGCCGGGCCAGCACAACCTACTTATCTATTTTGCCATAATTCAGTGCCCTCCCCGTCATGACTTCCCCTTCATGGAATAAATCATGGAATAATCTCGCACATATTCCAGACCTCCCTAGACCCTGAGGGATGTCCCATGTTTTCGCAACAAGCCAACCCTCGGAGATGTGCGCAGCTCAGTGTAAATCCCATGAATTATCTGCTCTAACCTAAGACTGAAGCGTAAATGTGGAGTGCTGCGCCAGGAGACTGGCCCCAGAGGATGTAGTGGAAGGAAAGGCTCAGACAGCCAGAGGACGGGCTCACGGGGCTCAGGAGGATGGCTTTCTGCCCAGCTCTTGCATTCCTTGGGTCCAGGAGCATATAGTAGCCACCTGTGAAGGAAAAGGCCGGAGAAGTGGGGTGGAGGGAACTGAGGGAAGATGGCAACAGAGATAGGGCCCTGAGGAGGCTGGGGACCTGTCCCTGGGGAGCCCAAACAGCAGCCTACAATCAGGCAGCGCCGAGGTGGTCCTGTCCCAACAGACTGAGGTCTTCAACTTTCCCAGAAATGCCTGGGCTGGGTAAGGACTCGGCACTGCCATGGAAAACACCGTGCACCCTCTCCAAAGCAGCAACTAGAACTCTGTCCTTTGGGTGCTAACTCGTTGTTGTTTTTGTTTCTGGGAGTCTCACTCTGTCGCTCAGGCTGGAGTGCAGCGGCGCAATCATGGCTCACTGCAGCCTCAACCTCCCCAGGCTCAGTTGATCCTCCCGCCTCAGCCTACTTGCGTAGCTGGGACTACAGGTGTGCGCCACCATGCCAGGCTAATTTTGTAATTTTGGTAGAGATGAGGGCTCACTATATGTCCCAGGCTGGTCTTGAATTCCTGGCCTCAAGTGGCCTCAAATTCCTGCCAAAGCGCTGGGATTACAGGCATGAGCCACCGCACCTGGCCTAATTTTTTAAAACATTTTTTTTTAATTCAAAAATAAGAAGTATAAACTCAGAAAGCAAATTAGGAAGCAGGACCCTCTATGTCTGACCTACAATGCTTGGCTCAGTGAGGGCTGGAAATGTGGGGTGTGTGGAGAACATTGAGAGAGAAAGTGAATGCTGTGTGAGAGACAAAAGGAAGAAGTCAACAGTAGAAAGAGAAAGAGAAGCTCAGCTGAGAGCACAGGGAGGTGGTGGAAAGAAGCTAGAGACAGATTTTAGTGCACAGAAAGAAAGAATATCAGCCGGGCGGAGTGGCTCATGCCTGTAATCCCAGCACTTTGGGAGGCCAAAGTGTGTGGATCCCAAGGTCAGAAGATCGAGACCAGCCTGGCCAACACGGTGAAAGCCCATCTCTACTAAAAAGAAGAAAAATCAATAAAAATTAGCCAGGCTTGGTGGCGCATGCCCGTAATCCCAGCTACTCAGGAGGCTGAAGCAGGAGAATTGCCTGAACCTAGGAGGTGGAGGTTGCAGTGAGCCGAGACCATGCCACTGCACTCCAGCCTGGCCACAGGGGGAGATTCCATCGAAAAGAAGGAAAGAAAAGGAAGGGCAGGAAGGGCAGGGAAGGGAGGGAGGAGGGAAGGAAGGAGAGAAGGTGAGAAGGAAGGAAGGAAAGATGGAAAGAAGAAAAAAGAAAAGAAAACGAAAGAGGGAGGGAGGGAGGGAAGGAAGAAAGGAAAGAATATTGCCTGGATTTTTGCAACAGCCTCCCTGCACCGACCCTTGCCTGTTCACCTGATTGGATCCTCAACACACACAAAAAATCCTTTTAAAATAAGTCAGATCCGCTGGGCATGGTAGCTCACACCTGTAATCCTACACTTTGGGAGGCCAGGGTGGGTGGATCACCTGAGGTCAGGAGTTCGAGAGTAGCCTGGCCAACATGGTGAAACTCTATCTGTACTAAAAATACAAAAATTTGCTCAGTGTGGTGGCGGGCGCCTGTAATCCCAGCCACTCGAGAGGCTGAGGCAGGAGAATCGCTTGAACCCAGGAGGTGGAGGTTGCAGTGAGCCGAGATCACACCACTGCACTCCAGCCTGGGAGACAGAGCAAGATTCCATCTCAAAAAAAAAAAAAATCAGGTCAAGTCACTGCTCAAAATCCTGCAAAGGCTCCCATGCACACAGAATAGAAAAGCCACAGTCCTGACAAGGAACTTCAAGGCTCTATGTGATCTGCCTCTCATGTGGGTCTCAGCTCACCCTCTTCATCCCGGCCACATGACTCTTTGCTGTGCCTCAATCCCATCCTTCCTCAACAGCCCTGCTGCTACCTCAGGGCCTTTGCACAGCTGGCCCCTTGGCCTGGAATGTCCTCCACTACGCCTGATAATTTTCAGGCCTCACTCCCTCATCTCCTTGAAGTTCCTGCTCAATGTGTCCCGAATGTGACCTACTCTGACCAGCCTATTTAAAATTGATAACTTGCCCAGACACAGTGACTCAACACCTGTAATCCCAGCACTTGGGGAGGCCAAGGTGGGCAGATCACCTGAGGTCAGAAGTTCTGGACCGCCTTGCCAACATGGTGAAACCCCGTCTCTACTAAAAATAAAAAAAATTAGCTGGTCGTGGTGGCACACACCTGTAGTCCCAGTTACTCAGGAGGCTGAGGTAGGAGAATCAATTGAACCTGGGCAGCGGAGGTTGCAGTGAGCCAAGACTGAGCCACTGTACTCCAGCCTGGGTGACAAAGCAAGACTCTGTCTCAAAAAATAAATAAATAAATAATTGATAACTCACGGCTGGGGGTGGTGGCTCATGCCTGTAATCCCGGCACTTTGGGAGGCCAAAGTGGGCAGGTCACTTGAGGTGATCCTCCCATCTCAGCTTCCCAAAGGACTGCGATTATAGGTATGAGCCACTGCACTTGGCTCCAACTTTGTTCAACTTTTATTTCCCAATAGCACCGCTCACCTTATCACTGTATTTACTTGTTTTGGTAACTGTCCCCCGCTACCCTGCCCTACTCCTCCTTGTCTGTTTTGTACACTGGTGTATCTCAGGTGCCTAGGACAGCACCTGGCACACTGTAGGCACTCAGTATTTCTTGAATGAATTAAGAATGAAAGGGGCCAGAGGTGATGGCCCATGCCTGTAATCCCAGCACTTTGGGAGGCTGAGGAAGATGGATCACTTGAGGTCAGGAGTTTCAGACCAGCCTGGCCAACATGATGAAACCCAGTCTCTACCAAAACTACACAAATTAGCCAGGTGTGGTGGTATACACCTGCAGTCCCAGCTACTCAAGAGGCTGAGGCAGTAGGAGTGCTTAAACCCCGGAGGCAGAGGTTGCAGTGAGCCAAGATCGTGCCACTCCACTCCAGCTTGAATGACAGAGTAAGACTCTGTCTCAGAAAAAAGAGGAGGAGTTGGAAGAGGAGGACGAGGAGGAGGAAGAGGAACAGGAGGAGGAGGAAAGGTACCAGGGAAAGGAGATGAGCAACTGGCTGTGTTGGGTCTGCTAGGTAGAGCTTGCAGGATGGTGATCAGGGAGGCTGGCCGGGTGTTTGGAATCGGCTTCCTGAGTGAAACGTGAGCTCATAAGAGGCTTGAAGCTGTAGGGGTTCATGCCAGACTGTCCCAGGGCAATTATGGTAAGGTGTGTCACTCAGAAAGTCAAGGGACAGAAGCATGGCTGCTACTCACTGCCAGGGCTAGAGAAGTCGCCCTCAGGCCCCACTCCTGGTTTTCCCGATGGCCTCTTCTTCTGAGTCCACTTGGCCCCGGAGGCAGTTGGGATCCAGGTCCAGCCACAGAGGTCATTTGGAATGTCAAAGCTGCATGTTTGCATCATACAGACTGAGAGGAAAGAAAGAAGGGAAGATATATATTTTTTTCTTTTTTAGAGACAGGGTCTCTGTCACCCAGGCTAGAGTGCAGTAATGAGATCACAGCTCACTGCAGCTCCAATTGCTGGGCTCAAGCAATCCCTCCACCTCAGCCTCCCAAGTAGCTGGGACTACAGGTGTGCACCACCATGCCCAGCTAATTTTAAAATTTTTTGGCCGGGCACAGTGACTCATGCCTGTAATCTCAGCACTTTGGGAGGCTGAGGTGGGCGGATCAGGTGAAGTCAGGAGTTCTAGACCAGCCTTGCCAACACAGTGAGACACCATCTCCACTAAACAAACACAAATTAGCTGGGCATGGTTGCAGGCACCTATAATCCCAGCTACTTGGGAGGCTGAGGCAAAAGAACCACTTGAACCCGAGATGCGAAGGTTGCAGTGAGCCAAGATCGCGCCACTGTGCTCCAGCCTGGCTGACAAGAGCAAAACTCCATCTCAAAAAA